ATCAGATAACTGCCAAATTCAGGGAACAATTGCTATGACTAGTGTTTCGGACTCAAGAGAAGGAGATGGGATTTGTTCTACTTGTGACCTCATTTCTGTGACTTCCCAGGCTCTCATATTTGGTGTGAGTTACCAGTGTGGCATAGAACTGACACGATAAATTGATTTGGCATCAGAAGTCTTATAGCCACTACATCAAAATATGCAATTAGTGGGAAAGGGTAACCTCCACTGTGGTCATCTCTGATACTCAGCTGTGACAAAGACACAGCTTGTCTGATTTATTGTTTTGGTCCTATGAGAAGTGATGAAAAGACCTGTGGGTCCCTACTATTTGCAGGATTGTAGGACATGCTCCATAGATCTGGGGGGGTGGGGAATGGACTATGCCATCCAACTGCTTATTAATCAATATTTATTAAGCACCTACTAGTGCTAGGCACTGTGTTATGCCCTGGGAATACATTAGGAGGCAAAAGATAATTCCTGCCCTCAAAAAGCTTACAGTCTGACGATTATATATCAACTTCATTTATATCTGCTGTCATTATGGAATCTGATAGATGGAAAATATCTCATTCACCTTTAGGTGTACTGCCCTACACATCATGGGCACTTACTTAAGGTTTCTTGATTCAAACTGAATCTGATTGAAACTTTCTGAACATTGACTTCTTCATCATTCAAATGAGGATATTGAACTAGGCCCATTGAATAAATGAAGACTGCAACGGTATGACGAGGCACATTAGTGTGCAGTGAGTTTTGGCTAAACGTACTCCAAATTGTGTGAAATCACACACAATGTAAATTCAAGTCATTATTCAAGATTAAGAATCTCATTTACTGACAATCCATTTTGAAGGATTTTGAAGTAACTGTTTAACTTAATATGTACTAAATCAAGATTATGGTTTTAAATGATGGTTTTTGGTACCATAATTTCAGAAACATTACATATTTATCTTAATGTTTAAGATTCCACTTAAATATATAATATGCTGGTTTGCTCACATCACCTGGTATGTGATCTTCTTCCTCTAATTGTCTGGAACTTAGATTGTATTGGAATGAAGATGATCATTTATCCCCTCATATGGGTGACTTTTTACCGCAAAGGGTAATAATGTACTATAAGTAAAAAGTTTTAAGCCACACCACTGTACGATTTGTAAAGTCACTTCCAACCCTAAAATTCAAATTCTAAACTGTCTAGGTGAAGGATTAAACTATTCATCTTTCTTTCTGTTTCTCCTCAAAATTCTTGGCATATTTGAACATAGAACTCACTACCTCAAACTTTCATGATTTAGGCTACACAATATGAATTTCTTTAACCTTCAATAATTTTAACAATTTTACAAATTTAACAACTTAACAGTCCTTTAACAATTGTTCATTCTATTAATTATGTTTGTTTTCTGTCTTTCAACTATTTCTAGTTTCTTCATATCTTTTTTTTTAATGTGATGAACCAAATTTGATAGATTACAGTATAGTGCAGTGGTCTGAATACTGAATTTGGGAGCCGAGTAGGAGTCCCTTTGGTGCCTGCTAGCTGTGTAACCTTAGGTAAGTCACTTAACCTCATGGACCTCAGTTTTTTCTTCCGTAAAATGAGGAGGTTGGACCTTTGATGTCTCTCCTGTCTCTAGTTCTATGGTGTAATTATATGAATGTGTTTGTTTGTTTCTGTTTCTGACCCCTGCCAGCTATCTCCTTATTAATAGGATTCATGAGTCCTGGAATCTAGAATGAATCCTAGATTGTCATGTCTTACAGAGGGTGGTTTGAAATTTCCCATTTAAAGAGTAAAACAAAAACAAAAACAACGAATAGATATTTATCTTGGTAGACTGATTTTAGTCTAAAGGAGAAAAGGATGGACTTCTTTCTAAAATCTCCCTTAAAATTCAATTGAGTGATTCACTCTCTAAATCAACTACTTACTAAGTTGCTTTCTCATTGACACAAAAAGTTACTTTTTTTCCTCCTACTTCTTTTCTTCCTCCATTTGTTTAGATTTTTAAAAATTTATTTATTTATTTTTGGCTACAAGTCATTTTAGACATCATTTAATTCTGTGTTTACATTTGTTAGCCAGGGAAGCTAACACCATGGACAGCTGGGGTTTTGCCTTGAACCAGGTTTTTCTGACACTTTCTTGTTCTCCCGACACCATCACTATCCTTTCCATCTTTGCCTCCTCCTTTTTCCACTGGAACCTTGAAATCTGCCCTGGGATACTACATTTTAACCTCATTATGTTTCATTTGAATATAAGCTCCTTCAGTGCAAGAACTGTCTTGCTTGTTTGTATTTATATTCCTGTACTTAGTAAAGCATCTGGCATATGGTAACTGCTTAATAAATGCTCTATCATCTATCCACCTGTCTGTCTATCTATCTAGTTAGCTAGCTATCTAGCTATCTCATCCATCATGTAGAGGGGTTAAACGCAATTTGGTTAAGTATACATTTGTTAGGCTTCTATTAAGTATGAGATTCTGAAGATATCATGACTGGACAAAACTGTCTTCGCCCTCAAGAGGCTCACGTTCTCCTGGCATTACTTGCTTAATGCTATGCAGCTAGTTAGGGTCAGAGTTAAAGCTAAAACTTGGGTCTTCTAATCCAACTCTCTCATCTCATATATGAGAAAACTGAGGTCCATGGAGGTTAAATGAATTGCTCAACTGCACTTTCTCTGCATCAGAAATGTATTTGAACTCAGTTTATCTAAGTCCATGGCCAGTGTTCATTCTACTGTACCAAGCTGTCCCCTCCCAGTCAAGTGATCTCTTCTCTCAGGGGTAGAGAATCTGTGGCCTTCTAAGTCTTTGGGTGGTGCCTTTTGACTGAGTCCAAGTTTCACAAAACAAATCCTTTTATTAAGAGGATTCGCTCTGTGAAGTTTGGATTTAGTTAGGACCTAGAGGGCCACATGTGACATCGAAGCTACAGGTTCCCCACCTTTATACTCTCAAAGTTTACAAACTTTATACTGTCAAATAACCTTTCAATGAATGGGCGCATACTTTTTCAACACGTGTATTTACAAATATCTAAATATTTGTAAATATAAAATGGCTAGGTAGATCTTTTGAATGTCTTATTGTCATGTAGAAGCAACCAGTGACTCTGGTTTTAGGTTACCATATTATTTATATGTGTATATGTTATTTCTGCCTAGTGAAATGTAAGTTCTTTGCAGGCAAGGACTGTTTTCATTTTTGTATTTATGTCTCCAGTGCCTAGCCTAAGACCTGAACATAATAAACACTTTAGTCTGGTCTGACTCTTCGTGACTCCATTTGGGGTTTTCATGGCAGAAATACTGGAATGATTTTGCCATTTCCTTCTTCAGCTCATTTTACAGATGAGGAAACTGAGGTAAACAGGGTTAAATAACTTGTTTAGAGTCACCCAGCTATTAAGTATCTGAGGCCAGATTTTAACTCAGGTCTTCCTGACTCCAGGCTGGCTCCATCTACTGTACCACCTAGCTGCCCATACGCACCTATAAATACCTAATCAATTAAATTGAAATCACCAGGTATCACATTCATACATTCCTCAGGGTTACTTTGACCCAGGTGGCTGTAAAACAAACCAGACTGCTTACCAGGACCACCAGAGCAGGAGGGGAAGTCTCAGGAAGAGGTTCAAGGATCAGGACAAATTCCACTGCATCTTCCTCTCCCTCCCTGTCTTTTCCGCCTCTTTTGTTCCACTGTTGACATACCTTAACGTTTGTATACGAGTAAAACCTGGTTGAAATGTCTGTAGAGCAAACCTGAAGAGGAAAATGAAGGAAATGTTGCACCTCCCTCCCCCCAAAGCCAAAATATAATCTGAGAGGAAAATATAGAAGGCTGAGGGAGGGAGGAGGGGAAGATGATGATGGAAAGCATGTTGTAGATAGTGGGTCCAAGGGGTGCCTTGTCTGTTGTGTTTGTACAAGCTTTGACTGTTGCTGATTGTTTTTGTTGTTTTAAGCAGTAGCTGGTGGTAGAGGTGGTGGTGTTCCAAGCCTCTAGCACCAGCAAGGGGATACCAGAATCACAGGGCCTAAGGTGATGTCTCTCATAGCCTGGTGAAGACTTCATTTGATACATAATAAAAAATCCACACAAAGGATTTTATATCAAAACTTTATTAAACAAAAAAATGCACCATTGGAATACCATTTCTATAAAAAATGAATATGAGACTGCTCTACAGTGCATTACAAAACCCCCTTTTCTTCATGTAGTAATATACAAGATTGTGTGTAGAAACAGTCATTTATTTTTAAACTGTAAGCAAGTTTCTTTTCTGTAGAACAAGATTTACACTTCAATATTGCAATCACTAGTCTAATTTGGTTAACAATGCTAGAGTTTGACAATTTAAAGAAACTGTTTATAGGCTCAAAATACCCCATTTTTAAGGTGTTTTGTAACAACGAGAATTTTTCCCCCACTAAGGCTAGTTAAAGCTGTAGTATACCCATTTCTACCAGAAAAAAAACTTACCACTAGCACACTAACAATTGGTTTGAACTACACATCGCAAAGCCCTTTGAGTGAATGCCTAGCATTGATTTAACAAATGCTGTAATAACCTTTCACAGTTTGTCTTAACCCCATTTTGATTTGACTTATTGGGGGAAAGACTGACACTTTAATAAGATGGCTTTGCCTGGGGCATCCTCACACTCAGGTGGGAACCACACTGTTAGTTCCCAGGAGAGCTTGCTGAGATATGGAACACACTGCAGCTTTAACAGCCCGACCTAGGTGTCCAACCAGATATTCCTTTTATTTTTTTTATCATAAATTATCCAAAAAAGAAGATCACTCTAAATAATAAATTAAATATTACTTATAAAAAGTACACCCCATCCCCACCCTCCCACCCCCGAACAAGGCGACAATTCACAAAGGTCAGAATTGTCAGCTCTACCTTACAATAATAAAAACAACCTTGCTCCTTCTCCTCCTCCAACACCTCCTCCTCCTCCTCCTCTCCCCAACATTGCTTGCTTGCATTTGAAAGTACATGTACAGCATACAGTGAGATCCATCAGCCCCATGACATTTTGCTCATGACATTAGGCCGCTGGTGATTGCTGCTCTCCAGTCCAGCCAAAAGTAAAATGAAACAAAATGGAATGACAATGCTTAAATGAATGGTCTCTACTGAGAGCAAGGGGAGAGAAAGCCTTCAGAGAGCACACCAGAAGTCAGACCTGGCAAAAATTAGTCACCAGAGATGGAGACATAAGAGACTCCAGAATGGAAGTAATAATATTGAATTGCTTTTCTGGGCATGGGCTTTGTCTCCTGTATAGCTTCACTCGGCACAGAACACCCTGGCATTCCATTTCAGAAGCAATACATTTTGAAATTGAATATTTGGATAACAAAGTATTTTGATCCATGGATACCAGTGCTTTGGGATGCAATGGAATATGACAGCACTGGGTGCCCTACCTGTGACTTTCCAAAATATTACATTTGAGACTTTAATATTGGGCTCACTGGGTGAAAGGTTTCCAGTGCAATATAAAAGTCACTTCTGCAAGTCACCATAGTAATACCAACTGTAAACAGCTATGCAACATATTGTTCTAGAAATGACAACAAAGGAATTCTTGTGCAGATTTGATTTTATGAACTGCTTTTGAGTTTCTAGCATTTTGTGAGATCTTTTTTGCATTGGCAGTAGGCAGAGGCAGAATACCAATCTGGGCATCTCAGTAATGAGGGCGTCATGAAATGATTTAGGACAAAAGCAGGGGACTAGACCCTGCTTTGGATCTGTCTGGAAGCTCATGAAAGTTGATTTTTGCTGTAAAAACCAAAAAAAGCAAAAAGAAAACCAAAAACATACAGATACAGCTGTGAGGCTGTGCACTGTCTTCTTTTTCCTGGCTTGTTCATAAAGTACAAGTGGACACACTGCAGGGAATGCTAAATCTGGACTCCTTTTTTTATTCAGGCAGGACTTTGGAGGCAGCCTGGTTTTCTGCGAATTGCAACCCAGTTGCCATCTTAGCACTCCTCTATTAAGTTGTAGCAAGATTTTGGAAGCTCATTCTGTTGAATCCAACCGAATGAGCCAATATCAAGAATAGGCAATAGTAGCCTCCTGGGCAGCCTCAGTGGGTCCCCTGTACTGTGGGCCCTTGATTAGAAAAGCAAAGAACCAAGCTTTACGGTCCTAAATGTTGACTATGAACTCTGAGTTCAAGCTAAGTGGCTATTGTCATGAAGCTAAAAATTCCATTTGTTTCCACCAGGGCAAGCCACCAAACAGCCCACTGATACGCATTACAATTTACTTAAAGGGACTAGCAGATTCTATTTCCATCACAAGACATTGTAGCCATTATAAATTCACCTCTTAGGGTCCTAAGCTGATTTGTTTTCCTCAAATTTATTAGGGTTTAAAGTTATGGTGCATAAAGGTCTTTCTGATTTAGTTCCAGTGTACACTTTAAGTATGTCAGTAGATTACGTTTCTGTTATATGAACAGAAGCACTACAGCTGGGTAGGTACTGAATGTACATTACAAAGAACTATTTAACTTCTGGTACCATACCACTGGAAAGCACTTTACTTATTTTGAGCTCTCTATATTTGCTTGTCTGTGACATACATAGAAGTTTCTTGGGAAAACCTTTCCTATTGGGTAAAAGTAGGAAAGTACTCAGAAATAGGGGCTTGCCTGATAGTTTGGCTTCTGTGAATGTGGGGTTAAAGGGCACACTGCCAAGCTGTATTTAAGTCCCAGTGCTGGAGTATCTGGCTTAGCTGTCAAGTGGAACCCTATGGGACTCAGAGATTTATAGGTCTGAAAAGTCTGATACTGCCTAAACTCAGTTGGGAGCTGGAGCGTAACAGAGGTCACTTCCACCATTCACAGGTTACTTCTTGTCAAGAGATTAGGGGACTGGGAAAATTAAAGAGTTACCTGAAAACCCTGAGTAGGTAAGCTGTAGCCTTCCAGGAACGGTTTGGGGAACCACAGTTCTACATATGCTACATCAGCCATATGGATTTGGGGCTTAAAGAATTTGTATCTCACGGTCATACTCTTTGACTTGTCCTCTACACTAAGGCCTGGCACGGACACTTATTTTACTACTGTTTAGTGAGACTTTACCACTACCACAAAAAACATTTTAATGTTTAAAAAAAAATATATGAACAAGGACCAAGAACATTTAGAAAACACAAGGCCTCTGAAACAAATTCTCCAAACTGTCTCCCATATCCAGAACTCATCCAAAACCAAATCAAAAAGATCTGAATTGTTCTCACCTTTCCATCTCATTTCCAAAGATGACTGGCCTGGATTGGAGGTACTGAGAATTTTTATGAAGATGCTAGCCAGTTCTCTTGAACTGGTTATGTTCATCTGACATAGTAGATAGCTAAATGCCTTGGATTCAAGATGTGGGACCAAACAAATCTTGAAGACTGAGGACATCATCTTGGTGGGATTAGGTACCTTTAAAGTCATACTGCTATGCTATGACTTTAAAAGGAAGGCTGTCCTAGGGGAATAAGGGACTCTATTAAGGACACAAGGTATCTCTATTATTATCTTTATATCAAAGTGGTTGGTCGATTCTGAAGAGATTGAATGCTTGCATGGGGAATGCCCCACTCCAAAGGACCAGACTTCCAGAATCCCAAATGCCCCTGATGTCAACAAAAATAGGAGCAAATGCCCTCATACAGGTAATACTACTTAATTCTTAAGAAGGACTTAAATAAAATTTTAGCAAATTGAAAAACAACCAGCACTCTTGTTGAAGGAACAATTTCACAAAAGGATCAGATTTTCTAATGAATGATTTGAATGAGCTCTCTCTTTGACATCAGATTTCCTTCCTGACGTAAAACTGTAAAAAAATAATCTGAATTATTACTTCCGTTACGTTGCCATTTTGCTCAAAATATTTCATTCAGGGATTCGTATATAATTACCCACCTAATAAAAGGAGCTATTAGGTTGTAAAGATCCTATCCCTTCCATGCTCCTTTAAAATTATGACCCACTCAAGCTTGAAATCAAAGGCAGCGCTGAATGGAATAATTCAGCTGAAACTTTCTTATTGGGTTTTGCTCTCTCCTAACTGATAAATATGCAAATTAGCTCCCTTTTGGTGATTCAGCTGCATAAACAGGGATTAACTTTGAATGCCGGCTAAAAATTCAGCAACTGAAAGTGTACACACAAAATGTTCTTAATTCAACCAGTTAAAAGTTGTTGATAAACACGGTAATATAAAGTTAAAATTCTAGCAGAGAATGAAGATGCCACTCGGAAATACCTCCTGAATCATGAGACACAACTTTGAAAAGGATCCATTGGATTTATGAAGTTTCATAAGTGTCAAATGGGGCCTTTCCCTCTACTCCCTGACAGCCTGGAGCTCATCACAGCAATAGGCCTCAGTGGTCACCATTGGCCAATGTGTGGCCGGGTCCAGTTGTTTCAGTGACCTGTCAGGAGAATCAAGAAGGGCCCAAGGAGGCAGTCCTCTTGAGTGAAGAGCTCTGCCTTGGCTTCCTTCCGGTCTGCACTTCATCAGTTTGCTGTTTCTGACAAGGAGTGAAGAGATCACTGGTATCCTTGCCAGGCAGATTATGAAGTCAGCCATCTTTTGGGGAGGACAGAGTCTCTGGGGAAGAAGGAAGGCCTTCAGTCCTGCCTGGGCGCCTGAAGAAGGATGGCCTTGGTGAAGCTTTGAAATGTCATCACAGTGTGGTATGGCCCCAAAGCCACCCATGTTGAAAAGTGTTCTATTACAAGCTTAAGCTCATAATTACCGTGTGTGTGAGAAGATTGCATATTGTATCCTCTTTCCAAAAATGCACTGTAGCTGGCAGGATGCCACCCATTGCAGATTTTTTATGTTCTATTTTCTGTTCTCCAGACATAAATGCTAACCAAGAGTGGATATACAAATACTTGAGGAAAATGGGTGAAATTTTACAGCCACTTGCTAACACCCACCACTTGTGCAAGACAAATGACTGAGTTATAAAACAATAGGCATTCACTGTCTCTTTTGTTTTTGTTTATTTTTTTTTTTTGTGCTGTTGGGGAATACATCCAATCCTTTGGTGCTGTGTAGTAAGAATTTCCCAGGGGTGTTTTGTGGTTGAAAGTAAAAGACAAGTGATCTCCACTGATTTGACCATGACATGGAACAGGTTTAAACAATGCACTTGCATGTTGTAATACTAGACTGACACAGTTAAAAAACAAAACAAAAGAAAACAAAACAAAATCTACAGAGCTGCAGGCCCTGATTATGGGAAACAGATGCACTATTTATGCAAATGTAGTTACTATGTGTGGCTAGCTGATCAAAGCCAAGGGCCAGAGATACTCCAGAGACTTTAACCTTGATCTTGCTTCGAGACACTCCTTTGTTGTTGATGAGGTTGTTGTCTCCGTTTCGAGAACTTTGAGATGCACAATGGGCATTAGATGGGTGGCATGTACCTCTCCAAACCACTTGAGGATCTTCCTTTCACTAGACAGTACTGGGGATCAGGTGATGTGTTTTGTGTGTGCAGGTGTTTGTGGGCACATCTTTCTGTGAATGAAATCCTGATATGCTGCATGATCCTGGATAATCCACCTTCTCAATTCACAGCTTTTAGAAGGCTGAGCCTGTGATGGCATTGAGTTGCTTCATTAGCCCTTCCAAACTTGCCATTTGTTCACTCAAATCATCCTGCTCATATACCTGTGAAGAGAGAAAGCAAATCATCAGTGCATAGTAAGAACTGAAGGACTGTGAGATATAGAAAGCCTAGTACCGTGCAGTTAGCTGTGTGTCACTGCAAAAGCACCTCATATTCTTTTATCATCGGATCATAGATCCATAGACCTCAGAAACTACATAATTCAACCCCCTGGTACTACAAATGAGAAAACCGAGACTCAGGAAGTTAAGTGACTTGTTCAAGGTCACGCAGGTAGAGGAAATTTGAATCCCAGGTCCTCTGACTTCTTCAGTCTTCTTTCCTTGGGACCATGCTGCCTCTCTTAGAAAAGTTTTAGTCAGGAAACTACCTAAAACTACCCACAGGTAGATAAAATGTGATGAAAAAATCCTTAACTTTACATTTGTCCAGAAGTGAAATGGGATTTTGTAAAAAGTCCACAGGGAATCTTCAGAGGCTGGAGGGTCACTTTGGGTGGCTACAGTGAAAAGGACACATATTAGATGGGGGTTAGGACCAGACTAGTGATGTCAAACTCAAATAGAAATGGGGGCCACTAAGCCATACATAAGGATCCCTGTGGGCTAAATACTGACTTAGAAAACCACATATTAACATCATCTATGTTCTACTGTATTTTTATTTTTTTTTCGTTAAACATTTTCCCAAATACAATTTAATCTGGTTCAGGTGGCACCGGGAGTGTCATGGACTACACTGTGATTGCCATGTTTTTGCCACCTCCGGGAACAGATGGCCTCTAAAATCCCTTCTAACTCTGATTTTATGATTCTACATGCAGTAGTATCTTACAGTAAAGATTTATATTTAATTTCTTTTCTTTTGGATAAAATATGGGACATTTTAATTTTAAATAGTTCGCCTTTAAGCAAAATTGGCTCTCCCAGAGCTGGGAATGCTTATGGATAGAACTGTTGAATATCAACCTGTAGTAATTCACAACTCACCCTCATAGGTTGGTCCTCTGGAGGGCTGACTTTTACTTAGGTTCAAATATAGTCAGAGATGCTTCATTCCTAAAACTGTATCTCATGAGTCCCTACTGGTAACCCTCCTTTTAATAGCCAGCCCATATATATAGTTAGCTCAAAGAAAAGGGATGCAAAATATTCCCCTTCCCCACCCCACCCCCTCCATAAACCTAGGATATCTATTTCCATAAATATATACAACATTAATTAGAAGACTGGTCATACCTATAGAGTAAATTGGTGATGAGGCTAACAAGGAATATATGTAGTTAACACAACTCATTCCTCTGGTACTATAAGGCCCCAATATTCTTTATGTTCTTGGAGTATCCTCATTTTGTCTCCCTCCCACCCCCAAGTCAAGATGTCTTCAGGGCATATCATTCATATGAGATCCCTGGGCCTGATCTTCTCTGTAGCTCAACTCCTAACTGCCAGGATGAAATTGTTCTTAAATATATAGCTGGCTCTCTTCTCTGATGCCAAGGGTCACACTATTCAGAGCTGTCTCCACACACTGCCTCTCTTTTGCATTGATCCCTGACAGGTACAGTGTCTCTTAATGGGTAGATAGCTCTGCTACAAAGTGCCATGGGTTATGAAAGTGGGAGGACAGAAAAACTCCCTTCCTCTGATAACTCAGGCAAGGCTGCTAAGGGAAAGATAAAACAAGATCTCCTTTAAAGAACTGGTAATTTGTTTTGTTTTGTTTATATCGTTTTTTTTTTCATAGCTGTCTCTCCTTTAGATTTCAGGCATCAAACTCCTTAAAGCTATTCCCTACCTTAACTTTGGAGAGTATGTCCTTTTTTTTTTATTCTCTTAAAGTCTTCAGTGGCATAGCCCCCTCTTCACTACAGAAGGGCTAGTCATCAAAGATAACTTCGCACTTCAGAAAAGGGTACCAGTGTTCATACTCTACACTTTATTTAACACAGAAACATCTTATTGTTTTAATTATTTGCCCCTTCCTGTGATTTTATCAACTGAAGAAAGTGTGTAGGGGTATCAATTGAATAGGCCTGTCTGATCAACTCCCTTCCTACTATAAATGTATTATGTATTTAGGACATGTCATCCTTCAACTGCGCAGCTAGATAATGCAGTGAATAGATTGCTGGGCCTGGAGTCAGGAAGACTTATCTTTCTGAGTTTAATTCCTTCCTTAGATACTAGCTGTGTGACCCTGGGCAAGTCACTTAACTCTGTTTACCTTTAGTTCCTCATCTGTAAAAAATGAGCTGGGAGAACGAAATGGCAAACCACTTCAGTATCTTTGCCAAGAAAACTCCAAATGAGGTCAGGAGGAGTTGGATGTGCCTGAAATGACTCAATAACAACATCCTTTAACACTTTAAGGATATTCTTTTGGTAGTATGAATATTCCCTTATTCCTTCCACTAATGCAGGTCACAAGTGCTTTATACAGATTTAGCATAGAGGTTCCTAGGATTTCTGTGGCTGAAAAATTCAACCCAGTATTGAGCTTATTTGAATTTAGTTATGCTAATCCTCTGACAACAGACACAGTTTGTCATTTGACCCAAGGAGAAGCTATAGGAAAGAATAACTCATATGTGTGTGTGTGTGTGTGTGTGTATACATATATATATATATATATATATACATACTATGTGTATATATAATAACATATATATGTATATTATATATATATATACATATATATATATAAAAACACTATGTATATATATAACATTTAAGATATACAAGATAATTTCACCTATAATCTTGTGACCTAAGTAAAACAAATATTAGGATTCCAGCACTCTGATCAACATTTTACAGAAAAAAGAAGCTGAGTCATGGAGATTATGATCACACAACTGGTATTTGTTGAAAATGTAATTCAACCCCAGGTTTCTTGGTTTGAAATGTGTTGATTTTATTTTCCTACTTTGCCAGGAAATCTGTAGATATCTCCCAAATTCCCTAGGCAATGTTTAACTGAGCTGTTAAACTTCTAGCAGATGTTAAACATAATTTCTTCTGTTGAAATCAACAACGAAGACTGAAATGTCTATATAGACAGGCCCCATGTTATACTAGGAGGCATAATCTACTGGGAGAGTCCTGTTTTTTCTAAGTTAGGATTTGTCATTAACTAACTAACTAACTAACTAACTGGTTGTATGACCCTGAGCAAGTCACTTAACCTCAATTTCTTCATCTGTAAAAAATGAGCTGGAGAAGGAAATGGCAAATCACTCAAGTATCTCTGCCAAGAAAATATGACTGAAACAAACAACAAAAGCTGTGATGTTGAGTCATCACTTGAACTCTCTGTGATTCTATTTCCTTCTCTGCAAAATGTCAGAATAACAACACTGCCCTAACCATGAGTTGTGAGGATATTAACTTCAATATATCTAATCAATTAACAAATGTTTGTTAAATACCTACTACGTGCTGAACACTTAGAGATACAAAAACAAGAGTTAGAGAATCTCTACGCTCAAGGGAAATTTACATTCCATTGTGGAAAACAATTCATAGAGATAAAATCAAATATGAAATATACACAAAATCATGAAAAGGTAATATTTTTTGGGGGGGAAACTGGCACCTATTGGGGAGGAATTAATAAAGCTCTGGAAGAAGAAGACACAGTTGAGTTTGAATTTGAGATCCTCAATTTAATTGGTGTTAACCTGTAATCTATTGACCCAGGCAATCTTTCACTAGATGGTCAATGACAGAATGTTAAGTAATGGAAGAGCACTTAGAGATCCTCTAGCTCAATTTCTCTTTCTACAGTTGATGAAATTGAAGCTCACAGAAGTTATATAACTCAACCTTGGTTATACAGCTCTGTCAAATGGAAGAACCAGGCTCAAAACCCAATTTTTGAGGGGCAGCTGGAGAGAGAACTGGCCTTGGCTTCAAAAAGACAAGCTCAAATCTTGCCTCAGACTCTATGTGGCCATGGGCTAATCACGCAACCTCTCAGCCTCAGTTTCCTCATTTGTGAAATGGGGAATAATGAGATGATGCTATAGCAACTCCTGAAATCATCTACCTGAGATGCAAATGGTTTGAGCTTTGCATCAGTGGAGCTACACTCACATTACTTAAGACATAGAGCTTCTGAAGTACCGAATTCTTATTTATATAGTTGATGTTCTTGAATGAAAAGTTATGCCCGTATTCATCGTTCCTGCAATGCCTCTATTCTCACACATATGCTCATGGCTTCACAAAGAACATTTGAGCTGGAAGGGAGCTTAGAAGGTTACCAAGTTCAACCTCTCTTTTCAAAGCCAAGGGAAGGAGGTTCCTTGATAATTACCACTAATCCTTTAGGTCTACTTAGCAAAGGATTGAGCAGTATTTGTGTGCTTAGATTATTTCTGTGTGACAAAGGACACACCCAGCCAGTAGTATGATGAATTTGTATTAAACTATCCAGAGTCGCTTAGTTCATTATGTGACCAAAGGCAGACATTTGCAAGATAGCTATCTTGGTTTTGAGGTGCTTTTCCTAGCCATCGTTCAGAATAATGCCACAGGGGGATAATAAACCTAACCTTGGCCTCAATTTTAATATGAACTATTCAAGTGACCTCACCAGCCAAAGACCATTAAATAGGATGGCATGAGAGGTCTGATAAGGAAATTTCTGATTGAGTCCTCCAATCCACAGAACCTGGAACTTTGTCATAAATCGGCATTTCCCATTGAGATAGACATATATTGTTGCTGTAGACATATCCTGTTAAATGTTTAACAGTTGGCTGACTTTTGAGTTTAATATATACTATTAACATTTTCTTCATTCTTTCTTAATTTTAGACAACCAAAAATACAGCAAGCTCTGATTTACCATTTTGACCAATTCATCATTCACCAATTTAAGAGGTGTCAATGCTCACACTGAAAATTTAACAATTGGCAGAGCTGATGTGCGCAGAACTCTGATTATAGCTCAGCACTGATAGACGTGCACTTTGGGAAGGACAGTCACTTTAGAACAATGTGTCAGCTCCTGATTGGCCCCTGTATTTCCCTAT